AACAACTAAATCAAATAGAAGGGAATAACTTACGAAAATTACCTAAGAATTTTTTTATATAAGACGTGGATACAAAAGTACTTGGATTCTTTGGTCGGGTTTCGAGCGACAACAATGCCTTGAAAAAATTCCCCTCTTCTAAATTGTACATTGTTTACAAAAAAAAAAAAAGAGAAAGACTTGGATACGTTTTAATGGTTAAAATCGTAATTTGGTTTCTCCTTAGACATAACACTTCTTTTTAGTCTATTTACTTAAAAAATCCTCTTTTTGGTTTTTAAGTTTGAAATCTGATTCATTTTTAGTCATTCCATTAAATTTTAACATTAAATAATAAAAATAAAGAAATAGAGAAATTAAAAAAAGTTTTTTTTCAAAGTAGAGGATCAAATTAGGGTTAAAAGTAACTCAATTTAATTTTTTTATTTTAAAATTTTTATTACCTAACATGTCATGTGTGCAAAACTTAATAAATAGACTAAAAATGTGTTAGATTTCAAACTTTATAAACAAAAAAAATATTTGTTTCAATAGAGGAATAAAAAAAAATTTTTTTTATCAAAATAAAGGAACTAAAATAAAGATTTAACCTTTTTTAATTTATCTTTATTAATAGCCTAAATTAACCGTTCAAGTTTTTGAGTCAACCATTCTCTACAAAAGAAAGTAAAAATAAAATTCTAGATTGATTATGTCCAATTTGGGCAAAGCCGAACTCATCTCGGGTGGTAGTAGCTGCGATTACTCCTCCCATCATAAGGCTCGTACTCCCATTATTTTATCATTACATTTTCTTAAGGGGAAGGTTGACTTTGAAACTCCAAATGGTTATTTCTACCTACCAAGTGAGATAACTAAATCAATTTAAAAGAAGTAACTTCTAAAAGTAGAAAAAAGATGTAAATAAAAATATTAATTTTGGCTTTTTTTTTAATGTTAAGTTTATTAATTTTTAAATAAAGATGTTAATTTTTATTTTTTTAAATTATTAACTTTCAACTTATTCTATTTAAAGATATCAATTTTTAACGTTTTCTATTTAAAAATTAATTGGATGATAATGTTAGTGCGACAAATGAATTTTTTAATTAGAATATTAAAAGTTGACATTTTTAAATAAAAAAATTGAAAATTAATATCTTTAAATATAAAAGATTAAATGTTGGCATCTTTATTTAGAAATTAACAAAATTAATATTTTTAAATAGAAGAAATACGAAATTAACATTCTTACTTACTTTTTTTGGTTAAATATTAATTTTGGTCCTTTAATTTCTTCAAATAGAAAAAAATATAAAATTGACATCCTTATTTACTTTTTTGATTAAATGTCACAATTTTGGTCCTTTAATTTTAGAGTTTTATATAGTTTTGGTCCCTCAAATTTTTATACACTTTTTTGGTTCTTCCATCATGAAAAATATATATTTTTTAATTTTTCTATCAGTTAGTATGTTAAATTTGTTTATATATGCACATTTTTAGTCTCTCAACTTTAATCCCTTAATTTTAGAGTTTTACATAGTTTAGGTTCCTCAATTTTTTTTAGACACTTGTTTGGTCCTTCCATTATGAATAATAAATTTTTTAATTTTTCCATCAATTAATATGTTAAATATATATATACATTTTTAATATCTCAACTTTAGGATTTTATATAATTTTTGTCCTTTAATTTATAAGTTTAAGGACTAAAAATGTGTATATATAAAGATATGTAACATACTAATTGATGAAAAGATTAAAAAAAATATTTTTCATAGTTGAGGAACCAAAAAAAGTGCTTAAAAAGTTATGGGACTAAAACTATGTAAAAGCTTAAAGTTAAAGGACCAAAATTAACATTTAACCAATTCTTTTAGATCAAAATAATGTATTTTTGGTTTTTAGCTCATTGTCTTTGAATCTAATACTGATGTGGCAGTCAGATTTTTCTGGAGAGCACATTGAAGGTTTTCAATTCATCAAAATTGCAATAATTTAACACAACCTGACAAAATTCTTGAAAATG